GGCCTAGGGAATTTTAGCGGGGTTTTTTAGGGGATTTTTAAGGACAATTTTAATGATCGGCCTGTTTAAATATTTCTTTTTAATTCGGCTTTTAATTATTGTATTTGTATTGTAGTTTTTATGAGGCTGTTAGCCGCCCTGAGTCCCATGAGGAGAAGGGCGGGGTATAAATTAAATTAATAAATAAAAATAAATAAATTAGAACACTTACTCTTTAGTTGTCCTTTAACATCTCTGTCTTCACTTGAATGTTCTTCATAGTGAGATTGGAGCTGTTGAAATGACTGCAGATCCTTTAGACACAGCGGGCATAGAAAGCCCTCTCTCACCTCTCCAGGATCATCAAAGGGAGGTGTGTAGCTTGTTGCCATACTGGTCCAAGATCCCTGAGGTTATTGCTTCTCTCCAAATCTCAGGTGCTATGGAACACTGTATGCCACGAGTAAAGAAGTGGACATACGGTGAGGAAATCGTTATTGTTCTTATTTTTTCTGCAAAGCATTCCCCTGAAACAGATGCAAAGGGCAGTTTTAAATGGAAGAAACAATTTGATTTGGTAAGTGTACTTTCTCTAATATGTTAACAGTATTTTAATGGTTTATTTCAGAAGACCAAAGGATAGGCAACGTGGTTCTCAAAGTTGCCAAGATGTCCCAGGTACCCACTAGAATTCCTAAATTTTAATCCATATTAAGTAAATATGAAGCTGGAATGCTGCAATATCACTTCTATCATTGTGCATGTTTACAATGATGCCTTTTGCTTCTACACCAGGCGTGTCAAACTGCCAGCCCGTGGGCTGGATGCATCACCCGCACCCACCCCAGCTCTGGAAAGGGGAAAAAAGTCACAATGCATTGCGACATGTCATGTGACGTGGTGAGTTTGACACTCCTGTTCTACACAGATCTCACTAACATTATAGAAAGTATAACATGGGGATAGTTTATGTTCTGGTAAACAGACTTGTTCTGGACTGTTGTAATAATAGAACAGCCTTAACGATGCTTTAACAAGCAAACCTTAACAATCATGATGCGTCCACCACATGCTTTCAAAATTCCAACGTGTCCCAGCCCAAGAAGATTCCATATCTCTGAAATATACTATATTTCTATTCTGGAATATGTCCATTAAATCTTTCATTGTAAGGAAAAATACTCTTTTCATGTAACTTTGGAAGCCATCCTAAATTTTGCAGCACAGGACAGTCTTCCTCAAACTGGCATTATCCACATAGTTTAAAGAATACATTTCATGCTCTCAAATCTTTATTATATCTGATTTGAAGAGTACAAAAGAGTACAAGCTGTTACAGAGCAAGCCTACATTCAAAGAAACAGAAAACATTGTTCCCTTTAGATAGATACAGGGCTTTTTTTCAGCCGGAACGCGGCGGAACCGCGTTCCGGCACCTTTTTCCGGGCCGGCCGCACCGGAAATAGCCCCTCCCACACCGGAAATAGCCCCTCCCAAATTTTACTTGCATTCCTGTTCTCTAAAGGGGCGGTCCTAGGGTTTGATGAGGGCGTGGCCAGGTTTGAGTTCCGCCACCTTTNTTTCTTCAAATGCTCCACTCTTTTACTAAAAGTGTCTTATGTGTTTGTGGCCAACAGTTCAAATTTTGTTTCCTTGGTCCAAAGCACTCTAAAGGCTTTATTTTGCCAACTTTAAATAATGACTTTTGTGATTAGAGAAAATATTTCTTTTTGCCAATCTTCCTCTTCAGATCATTGTTGAATAAGTAATGTTATACAGCAGAATTGTGGACAATTACTCCACAGTCCAAACTTCTACACTTGTCACATTCATATTTTTTTTTATTATTTTCAGCCACTAAATAACAGAAATTTTAAGTATCCATTCACATTTGCATAAAATTAGTGTTATTTTACTTGTATCATGGACAGTTTCTATTCCACACAGGGATACATTGAAACATAATTTCACCAATTATTCCTTAACTTTGGCACGCATGGAACATACCTATTACTTTATAAACAGCTAATATTAAAGTTTCACAAGGGGCTTATAGTCAATGTATCTATTTGTCTGAATGAAAGAGCTGCCTGACGAGGGGAACTGAACTCCTTTGGTGGGATGGAGAAATAGGGCCCAGATCCCAAAGCTCTGTTTCTGTAGCTCATCAGAGCAGTTCCTCTCTGGGCATGGAGGGGAGCTGAACTCCTTCAGCAGGGTGTGGCACAGTCACAACTGTGGTCATAAATCGAGGATTATCCAAATACAACAGAGTAAAACACTGCTTTCAACGTATCTAAACTTCTCCCATTCAAAGGTCAGGTGTGGGCATCATCAGTATGCCTCCCCATGAATTATGAGTGTTAACTGTATTGCCATAAGAAGAAAGGTAACATTATATTTATTTTTAATAAACAGAAAATTATTATCATCTATGTTAACACACAGGGGTTTTTTTACACAGAGGGGATGATTTAGGACAGTGATGGCGAACCTTTTAGAGATTAAGTGCCCAAACTGCAACCCAAAACCCACTTATGCATCGTCGAGTGCCGTGTGGGTGTGGCCCATTGGCTGGGCATGGTCCATTGGGTGGGCATGGCTGCAGTGGTAACGGCAGACTGGGTGGGACTAAAAAGTTCAATCAATCAATTCCAACGTTGCAAGATCTTTTTTTTTCCTGCAAGAAGTTGAAATTGACTGAACTTTTTTTTTTTTTGCACATGGCGGCGGAGGCCTAAAGTGAAAAGGTTTTATAAAACCCAGCTGAAGGCCTAGGGGTGGGGCGACGGTGCACTTGCCCACAGAGAGGGCTCTGAGTGCCGCCTCTGGCACCCGTGCCATAGGTTCACCACCACTGATTTAGGACCTTTAAGGGTAAAATGAGTCCTTTAAAATGTCGCCCATTATTTTTTAAGGACCCTCCACCTCCTCCCATATCAGTTGCATATTCCTGCTATACAACTAACAATTGGCTTTCTGTTCATCTTAATAAAGGCTTACTTACTTCCAGAAAGTGACTGCCAATATTTGTATGTAGTAAGCAAAAAAAATGTGTGTTACATACATAGATAGATAGATATTTAGATAGATATTTAGATAGATAGATAGATAGATAGATAGATAGATAGATAGATAGATAGATAGATAGATAGATAGATAGATAGATAGATAGATAGATAGATAGATAGATAGATAGATAGATAGATAGATAACCTTTATTGTCATTTTTATACTGTGGGCACAATGGCACACATCAAAAATGAAATTTAGTTGCCCGCTCTCAAAGTGAAACACATACATGACACACACCTAAACATACTATGAACAACATATGTATAGACCCACATCCCTACATATATGTAGCAAATAAATATTAAATATTGTCCATCTTGAATATATAACAGAAGGAGGAAGCTTGAGAGTTCGCAAGGTTAATGCTGTATGGAATGAAACTCTGGCTGAATCTGGATGTTCTGCTTCGGATACCACGAAGCATAACAATAACAATAACAATGCGAATTAGAACACTTACTCTTTAGTTGTCCTTTAACATCTCTGTCTTCACTTGAATGTTCTTCATAGTGAGATTGGAGCTGTTGAAATGACTGCAGATCCTTTAGACACAGCGGGCATAGAAAGCCCTCTCTCACCTCTCCAGGATCATCAAAGGGAGGTGTGTAGCTTGTTGCCATACTGGTCCAAGATCCCTGAGGTTATTGCTTCTCTCCAAATCTCAGGTGCTATGGAACACTGTATGCCACGAGTAAAGAAGTGGACATACGGTGAGGAAATCGTTATTGTTCTTATTTTTTCTGCAAAGCATTCCCCTGAAACAGATGCAAAGGGCAGTTTTAAATGGAAGAAACAATTTGATTTGGTAATTGTACTTTCTCTAATATGTTAACAGTATTTTAATGGTTTATTTCAGAAGACCAAAGGATAGGCAACGTGGTTCTCAAAGTTGCCAAGATGTCCCAGGTACCCACTAGAATTCCTAAATTTTAATCCATATTAAGTAAATATGAAGCTGGAATGCTGCAATATCACCTCTATCATTGTGCATGTTTACAATGATGCCTTTTGCTTCTACACCAGGGGTGTCAAACTGCCGGCCTGTGGGCTGGATGCATCACCCGCACCCACCCCAGTTCTGGCAAGGGGAAAAAAGTCACAATGCATTGCGACACGTCATGTGACGCGGTGAGTTTGACACTCCTGTTCTACACAGATCTCACTAAGATTACAGAAAGTATAACATGGGGATAGTTTATGTTCTGGTAAACAGACTTTTTGTGGACTGTTGTAATAATAGAACAGCCTTAACGATGCTTTAACAAGCAAACCTTAACAATCATGATGCGTCCACCACATGCTTTCAAAATTCCAACGTGTCCCAACCCAAGAAGATTCCATATCTCTGAAATATACTATATTTCTATTCTGGAATGTGTCCATTAAATCTTTCATTGTAAGGAAAAATACTCTTTTCATGTAACTTTGGAAGCCATCCTAAATTTTGCAGCACAGGACAGTCTTCCCCAAACTGGCATCATCCACATAGTTTAAAGAATATATTTCATGCTCTCAAATCTTTATTATGATATCTGATTTGAAGAGTACAAAACTAAGATAGCTGTTATAGCTATAGTTTTCAAAGAAACAAAAAACATTGTTCCCTTTAGATAGATAGATAGATAGATAGATAGATAGATAGATAGATAGATAGATAGATAGATAGATAGATAGATAGATAGATAGATAGACAGACAGACAGACAGACAGATATAAAAGATTGGACTTAAAAAGAAGGCAATTTTAAAAGCAAACTGTAGAAATCAATCAAATCACAGAAGCTGCAGCCACTCTCACTGCCCTGCGCTCTGAGGCCTCTGCTGTTTTGCACTTCACTAACCCAGCTGACCTTTGCTGCTGCTTGGCTACTGACTCAACACGACTGACCTGCCCTTTCCCAAGGCACCTGCTGAAAGTGCATGGCCTTTTTATTGAGGTTGCACCTTGTGGTTTCCTCATGAGACTTTGGGAGGAAGAGTTGCCTCCTGAAGGGGCAGAATGTCTTGCCAGCAGCAGGAAGACAGCAAAAGTAGGAGCAGGGCAGCAGGGGCCTCAGAGTGCAGGGCGGCGTGAGCAGCTACAGTTTTGTGCCCCACCTGTAGGCTGAGCTGGGCTAGCGGAACATAGGACAGCACGGTCTCCAAAGTGCAGGGCAGTGAGGGGAGCTATGGCTTCTCACTAACTGCTTGGTTAGGCTGGAGCAACTGCAGCTTCACACTCTATTGCTGGCTAGGGCAGCTGTGGTTCTGTACTGCGCTGCAGGTCAGGGGCTTCGTTCAGCTCTAGAGCTGTGGCATGAAACCCCTGAGCCACCGTGCAGCGAGCAGTCCCCAAGCAAGCAGTTCTAGTGCTCTTACTGCCCCTTAAGGCAGGCTGCAATGTGGCCAAAAGGGCAGAGATGGGAGTAGAATATTGGTTGGAGGGAGTTTA